GGGAAACTCAGAGAATAGAGGGCCTGAGCGTATACATGAGAGAGAGTAGCATCAGCCTTGGCCGGAGCAGGAGAAGGGGAAGCAGTGGGCAGAAAAGTGGGCAGCAGGATGATGGCACCGAGCCAGAGGCTCTGAAAGCCACTGCATTTGAAAACCGCAGTAACCATTTGATTATATTTATGATTTGTCATATTTTTTAAATGCTCACCTTTTCTTTTCAAGGGTCAGCAAGCATATAAAAGAGAGGACGGACAGAGTTAGGAGGGAGGGTCTCCCTGACATGGTCCTTTCTCTCTGTTTAGAAACAGCCCACCCATGTGAGGATCCACTTAAAGGATTCTAGAACTGGCCACACTGATGTTCGCTATACTGACATTTGTGAAATACCAGCCTGACTGTCTGGAATGTGTGAGCTCATAATTCTCACACAGATATCTCACTCCAAGTGTCATGTTTTTCCTCTAAATTGTGCGAGACGTTTTCTTTAGAATTTGTTGAGTATTAGATGCTGTGTAAAAGGAACTGTGTTCTATGTTTTGGGAATATTGGAATGCCCCTGTTTTTAGGGTGGTGAAAATACTCTGTAGGCTGTTAGAATCATAGACACGTGCCATCACACAGTTATCCAAACCACCGACCTTGCACTACTGTGAGTGAACCCAAAGGTAGACTGTGGACTTTGGGGGATCAGGGCATGTCACTGGAGGGTCATCCATCTTAAGAGATGTATCACTGTTGTAGGGGATGCTGATAATGGGGGGACTATGCATGTGTGGAGGCAGGAAGTATATGGTAATCTCTGCACCTTCCTCTCAATTTGGCTGTGAAGCTAAAACCGCGCTAAAAAACATAAGTCTTAACAAGGCCAGCAGATGATCCTGTTACAGAGGGAAGGCTTTTTTTTTTTTTGCTGTGCCCACAGAGACTACTTGAGAGTAGCTCCTCTCTAAGGAAGGGAGTGACTGAAGCCACTATCGGATCATAGTTGGGACGCCTGCAGGCCAGTGTTTTTTTGTTGGGACCACAGTGAATCCACTTGTATGATGTCCACCAAGTTTCCCAGTGCGGTGGGTAGGTAGACAGATGTCTTTCGAGGATCTCTGACACCTTGAAGGCGGTAGGCAACTCATTACAGAGAATCTCTAACTTCAAGTGGACTCAATGTATAAAGAAAAATGACTCTATTTTGTTAAACAAATTTGAGTGACATAATTTCTCAGGTTCTGGATAAATCTTAATAACATCTACTCTCATGGTTTGTATGCTTTCAAATTTTACATTCTACCAATAAAATGATATTCAAACTTCATAATCTGGCTTTCATTGCCTTCGGCTAGGAGGAATACTTAAGCTTCCAAGCTTTTCTATTGCAACTTTAGAATCAGGTTAAATGAGAGGTTTCATATTGATCTCTCTATTTGTCTGATACAACATTTGTCTTATCTCCATCAAAACTTTGATTTCATGTCTTTTGTTCCACATGTTCTCAATCTTCTGATTTTCATATCTCTTTACCCAAGACTTTTTCACAACCAAGAGCCTGTTTTATTTCTACTTTCCTCTCATCAAGACTCCACATATTCAAGCTGTTATGCACTTTTTATTTATTTTTCATTATTTAGTAAACGTACTTGGAATTCTCATTCCTAGCTTCTGATCATTATGAGAAAACTAGCACTATCCACAGGGCTGATATGATTTCAATCACTCAGAAAAGAAACTTAATATTGAAAACAGCTGTGCAGCTATATTATGGGTAAAATGAAATATTTGGATTAATAGTTTTGAACAACGAAAGTGCCTCTTGGAAAACCAATACCAATAATCACAATGAAAGTTAACCTTCCTACTTGTGTTAACCTACTTGTGTCCTCTGTGTGCTTTGCACATCTTGAATTGTCTAACCTTCATAGTGAAACTACACGTAGGTTCCTTCATTATTTGTATTTATAGGTGAAGAAGATGAGGCCCAGAGATGTTTAGGGACATGTTAAATATCACACCCTAGAGGGCAGTGGGGTGCAGACTCTCTGCACCAATCACTGTGCTGACCACCTCTCAGCTCTGCCTTTGAATGTCTGCATCTCAGAGAACCTGGTTTTGAACCTCACTCTCTTTAGTTAATGTCAGAGTTCATCTCTTAACATTATTCTGAAGTTTTCACTGGCCAATCTCTGCATTAGGAATTTATACTCTTCTCTCTGTAGATGGTTTCTATTCTTCTAATACCGATCACACAGTGCCTTACATCATTAATGATTTTTCATACTGTTATGTTAAAATACAGATGATGCCACAAAAAGGTACGCACATTTTAAGAAAGGAAAAAAACTATTAAAATTGTAATATTCAATATATACCAATAACAAAGGATGATTACAAGTCACATTTGACTTCTGCAATTACAAGACGTGCTCAATGTGGTCACCATCAGAGTCCAGACACTTCTGATTACGGCGAACTACTGCTTGAGCATAGATAACACATTTAAAGTGTATATACATTTTCTTGGCAGCTCTGGTATATTAAATTATTAAGAACAGGGGAATATTTTCCCCATTTCTTATCACTTCAGATAATTTTGATTCAGTATTTGAGATGAAAGATAATTATGGAATGATGGAAGAAAAAAGAATGAACACCATCATTTTAAGAATATTTGAAACAGACTAAATTAAAATGGGGACATTAAGCCTGGACTATATAGAAAAGAGAAAAGTCACAGAAAGAGAGAAATAACATACAGAGAAACATCAAAATCATAATCAGGGAAGTAGCAAATGCTGGGACTTAGGTAATTTTTGTTATGAAGCACACCTTTTCCTCATTTTATGTGCATAGTAAACATGATTATTTCTAAAGTGGCTTTGCCAAGGTCATGCAGCTAGTAAGTAGTGGAGCTGGGATCTGTACCCAGGCCATCTGACTTGGGCAATTGTATTCTTAACCAAGAAGCAAAATGACTTGGCTAGATTAATATCCATCCTAGGTAGATTATCAGGATTGCAAAAGATGAGCTGACAAAGATGAAAGATTCCCCAAAGGACAATATTTTCAGAAACAAATTATTAAAAACATAAAATATGATTGGTAATGAAAATTTCTATGAGTACAATAAAAATGCAATTTTATTCCTATTAATCAAGTCAGATAATCAAATAATGTTACAAGATGGATAGCCTTTTCTTTTTTGTTTGTGTACCAACTTTTCTGCAGAATCAACAACATTGAAATATTGGCCATACTTGTATATAAAAAAAAGGATATAGAAATACATATATATGCAAATATACTTATAGAAAATTTCTGGAAGGACATAGAAGAAACCAAAAGGAGTTATTTCTGGAGAGTAGGATTATAGAATCAAATAATTTGGAGAGTGATTGTAATATTTTCTTTCTATATTCTTCTTCTTTATCATGATCATGAGTTACTTTATAATAAAATAAAGTTAATAAGTGTATAAAATATTGACAAAATTTTATTCTTATCAATAACAATGATAATCTCTAGCATTTGGGAGAACTGGAAAAAACATACATAATTCAATTGGAAAATTGTCAAATAAGTGTTTGTTATAAAAATCTATACTTTATCACACTATTAAGTTGATAGTTAAACTATGGAAAGTATAATAACAAGGGAAGAACTGTTAAAACAATTCTATGCCAAAATCAAAACACAAAATTGTATTTTACGATGATTTCAATCACATATACTGTGTATGGTATGAATTAGAACTTGAAATAGAAAAATCATAAAATTGCATATTGGAATTATGGGATTTTATTTTCACATAATGTTTGTAGAAGAGGTATCCTAGGGAATTCAGGATAAAGAGGGACATGTATGAGTAAAAGCATTATTTAGATTATAGGCATATTAGGAATTTTATACTGGGTAGAATTCATAGGCTGAGAGGATCACTATTCTAATGGGATAAGTTGAAGAATAAAAAGAGTAAAGAGTAGTTTCCCAAATTATGCCAACTTCAAAGTGTTATCCAGACATTTGTTATATCAAGACTGTCAGTGAAGCTGATATCTTGAACATCCGAGGCTTTGGTAAATGGTTGTTAAAATACAGCAAATTTCATCCAGTATCCTGAAGGGGTCTGGGAAAATGGACACAAAAATGAATGATACCAACTGGGAATAATTTCTTCAAGAAAGGATTCTCCAATGATATTCATGCTTAATATATTGGAGTACTGCTGTTGAGATTTCAAAGCTCACAGATAAGATGCACAATACATGAAATATACGTGTTGTGTGTGTGTGTGTGTGTGTGTGTGTGTGTGTGTGTGTGTGTAAAATCTATTTTTAATTCTTGGGGAAATAGAATAAGGTAGGGCAACTGAACTTCATTTTTCATATGAAAGCTAAATTTCAAAGTGGTTAAGTCATTACTCAAGGAAAGTATAACTTCTGCAGTTCTCAGTTGCAGTAGAAATCAGAAATATTAAAGAAATTTTATTTATTTTTCTTTTTAATTAAATTTATTGGGGTGATATTGGTTAGTAAAATTATGCAGGTTTCAAGTGTGCAATTTTATATCACCTATGAATCACATTGTGTGCTCTCACCCATAGTTCACCTGCCATCACCATATGTTTGATTCCCTTTTCCCTCTTCTACCATCTCCCCTCCCCCCTTACCCTCTGGTAACCACTAAACTGTTGTCTGTGTCTATGAATTTTTGTTTCTTTGTTTGTTTTATTCATTTGTTGCTTTTAGTTTTGCATCCCACATATGAGGACCTTTATTTTTTTATTTCCCAAATGCAAAAGCTTTGGTCAAATGGAGTGTTTCTGAATCAGCAGGGAGTTCTGGGAGAGGCTTGCAAAGATTCCTTGGGGATTAAAGGTAGTTGGAGGAAACAGGAGGAAGCAGAAACAAGGAATTCAGAGTTCAGCCCACAGATTTTCTCAAGATGACACTTCCTTTCTTATCTCTGCAGATTAAACCTTTGTCAACTGCATCTGACCTACAGCCACTAGTATGAGGATGAATCACAGTGTGACTGAATTCATTCTGTTTGGGTTAACACAGGATGCAGAAAAGCAGAAAGCAATCTTTGGGGTCTTCTTGATTCTTTACTTCATGACGCTGTTGGGGAACTTTCTCATTGTGGTGACTATTAAAACAAGCAGGACCCTTGGGAGTCCCATGTACTTCTTCCTGTTCTATTTGTCTTTTGCTGATGCCTGCTTCTCTACAACCACAGCCCCCAGATTGATTGTGGATTCCCTTTCTCAGAAGAAGACCATTTCCTACAAGGAATGCATGACTCAGGTCTTTGCAGGACATTTCTTTGGGTGCATGGAGATCTTTTTGCTCATCCTGATGGCTGCTGATCGCTATGTAGCCATTTGTAAGCCCTTGAGATACACAACCATCATGAGCCGGCGTGTCTGTGTTGTGCTGGTGATTCTTGCTTGGGGGGGCTCTTGTGTCCACTCTTCAGTACAGATTCTCCTGGCTTTGAGATTGCCATTCTGTGGCCCCAATGTGATTGACCACTTTTTCTGTGACCTGCAGCCCTTGTTGAAACTTGCCTGCATGGACACTTATGTGATCAATTTGCTACTGGTTTCTAACAGTGGGGCCATATGCATGGTGAGTTTTATATTGCTGCTCATCTCGTATGTTGTCATTTTGTACTCCTTGAGAAACTACAGTGTGGAAGGGAGGCGAAAAGCCCTTTCTACATGCTCCTCCCACTTCATTATGGTTGTCATGTTCTTTGGTCCATGTATATTCATATACACACGCCCACCAACCACATTTCCAATAGACAAGATGGTGGCTGTGTTTTATACAATTGTGGCACCCCTGCTCAATCCTCTCATCTATACACTGAGGAATGCAGAGGTGAGAAACGCCATGAAGAACTTATGGTGTACCAAACATGACTTCAGTTGATGAGTGATACATGGGAGAGAGGCTTGGACATCTGCAGATTTGCAAAGATTCCTTGGGGATTAAAGATAGTTTGAGGTAACAGGAGGAAGCAGAAACAAGGAATTCAGAGTTCAGCCCAGAGTTTGGTTTTGTTTCACCGACATGAAAATGAATATTCTTGTTAGGAAGCAAATAATTAAGAAACCTGAGAGGATTGCATCATTATTTGATTACTGCTTAAATCCATAACCATTTTGAACAACCTATGATGATTCTTACTTGAATTCTATCACCATCTGGCAATTTTCACATGGTAATTTAGCTTCCTGTACAATTTTTCCTTCAGAAAGAAATGTACTGACTAGTGACAGAATAATTGTGTGTGTGTGTGTGTGTGTGTGTGTGTGTGTGTGTGTGTGTTTGAAGGGGTATATACACACACATGCATCAATTCTATTTCTAAGTTTATTTCTAGTCCTTGGGAATGTGGTCGTCAGAGCTAATCCATAGGAACTGGACACTTACAGAATCAAGGTCACTGTCTTGACAACCTGAGGATTAGGGAAGATGTCCTGAGAAAATGCTTTTTTGGGAATCTGTGCCTGAGCCTGCTTCACGGGGCTTATCTACCATGATGGACCCTCAAGCTCCAATAAAGGCTGGAAGCATCAGTGGAAACGTAGACTGCCACTTGAAAACCTGTCAAAATTAATTATGTGAGTGGTGAGGGAGGGAGGAGTCTTGCATTCCGATGAGACAGGCAGTCCCTCCAGGCAGTTGCGTTTTGGGTCTTTCACAGTCTGTTTACACAGGAGGGGAAGAGGCAGTGAGAGTTTGGCAGCAGGAATCTGCAGACAGGAGGCTAAAGGGAAGAAAGGAGGGCAGGAACAACGCATGGTGAAGAGAGGAAAGGTGAGAGGAAAGTGGCAGTTTTGTCCAGATGGGAGAGAAGGGGCATCGTCTTCCTCATGTGCTGAGTACCAGCTTTGGGTACATGAACATTTGCAGGAGAAAATGCAGCTTCAGGGTATTCCTATATCATTGACCTTCCTTGGCTGTTATGCTTATTTGAGTATCAGGAAAGAAGTTTTTTTTTTCCTTCTGTAGTATCTCAAAACTCAAAATTCAGATTTTTGGGGAGAATCTGGGATTGAAAATATGGTCTAATACTTCTCAACACTGATCTTTTAGTTTTACACGTGAATCTTTAAACATGTGTACTTTCATTTTTGAAGATAACTTAATCTGTATGTAAATACACGCCTACCACCACCACCATCTCATAATCTCATAATCAAGTATTCTCATGTTATTTCAACACCCAAGTTTATAATTGCCATCAAATTGGCCCCCAAAAGTATGACTTTTAGTCATATGGACCAATGAGAAAGGAACACGATGAACTTCATAAGTACATAAAGCATTACTATCAACTGAAGAAAAAATGTTATGTTGCATCAAAGACTCCCAATAGTTCTGATTTAGACGAGTGGTGGCAGAATAAATATTTAAGTCCCAAATGGGAAGTTTGTCACAGTTCTTAATACCATATTCACAGGTGGCAATTTAGTTTCGCACTCCTTCCAAATGAACACTTTCACTTTTCCTGATTTTATGTCTTACAGTTCTGTTTTGAAAGCATTTGAATCTGGTCCTATGTGTTGCTCTTATATTTAAGTGTAATTGGTTTTTAATTAATGGAGACAAAATAAAAATAAAACTTTGATTTCTATCTCTTCTTTCTCGGTGAAAATTAATAGTGTGGGGGAAAAGCTTATCCCTGCCTGAATGAAAACACAGAAAGCTTTAGGAATTTTATTCTTATTATTAGAAAACCAGAGCCCAGATTGCCGTAGATTTTAGGGAAGGGCTCAATTAAAGAGGGTGGGAGAAGTAGTCAGGGGATAGAGAGGTTTTACTTAATCTCATATCTTAACAAGCTGGCTACTGTCTGTGGGCTTGGCAGGTGTTAAAAGCTTTTTGTTCCCTTCTTTTTGGGGATTTCCCCCCTAAGCCTTCTATTTCTAGTAACCTTGACATAGGAAGAAAATGTCTGTTTCTTATGATTGCTGTTGACCCTCGCTTGGCCCTCAGAAAGCCAGTGGTTACCTTCAAAATTGTGTACCCTTCCAAGTGGCCTATTTGGACTGGTCCCTAGAAGAGCTGCTTATGGCTGTACTATGGCAGTCCCTGGGAAACCATCCATGCATTTCTGCTCTGAAGAATACAGTAACGTAGAAACATCCTTAATGTAGGTTGATGTCTACCAGCCACCCTGACTCTACCAGTAAGTCTGCCAGCCTCTCTCCCTGCCTACTCTTTTCTGATCTGAGTCCCTTCAACCCAGCAATAGAGAGGATTGCATGCTAGGTGCTCAGGATGACACTCTGAAATACCCCTTCATTACACACACACGCACGCACACACGCACACACACGCACACGCACACACACACACACACACACACACAGTTTGTGGTTGGGGTGAGGGGTAGGCATATCTCTACAGTGATTTCCCTGAAGTGCTCTCACAAACCACTCTGCCAATTTATACTCTGACCAGGTTTATATCCTTTATACAGTTTCAGGATATTTATGTTTATCATTTCCTTTGGTTTGGAGATAGGCCCTGGGTGATTTGGACATACTTTGTAACTTCACATCTATTGTGTCTAGTCAAAATTTCAGTTTTAACACTTTGTTACATAAGAAATGTTAATTCATAAATAATTTGTGTTAACACTCGACTTCAGGAGAATTTATTTTCATTTACAAAGGGACTGTTTATTACTCCAATTTGAGAAACATTTGTTTGTACTCATGTAAGAGATACATGTTATGGACCAAAGTTTGTACAGTTCAACCTTATCTGTAAAAGGGATAAACTTTGAAGTGAATTGGACAGATTGACTTTTGGAAGGAGTAATGAGGAAAGGAGAAAAGATCACTTCAGGGGGAGGGAAGAAAGTCTGGAAATCAATCTTTGATTGGGTCAGGGGGAAAAAAAGAAATAACAGCAACTTCATGAAAGATTAAAGAGAGCGCTCATAAAATTGTTTGCGATTTCTGTGGTGAGGGGAGCCATTTTCTGTCCCCCATCTCTGCATTGTGGTGTGAGCCTTCTTGGACAAAAAAAGAACCTCAGAATCCTGGAGAGCGTCATCACTAGGGTGTCAACAGACAATGGGGCTAATTTTGGGGACCAATCACTTGAAATAGCTGGACAAGTAGGGTCTCTGTGGGACCCTAGCAGATGACGATGAGTCATAGAGTTTTTAGGGACACTTGCAGAGATCTCTCACCCTCCTTTCTCCATCTCATGAGTCAGGAGAGGATCAGAGTAAAAGCTAGAATGGTGGTGTTTGAGTAAGCAGAAGTGGGTTAAATAATATGAAGTTCTGACAATGAAGTTCACAAACTGTTTGCAACAATTTTGCTAACCTTTTTTAATATCAGAGGGATTATTCATTCTGAATTTGTACGAACTGGACAAACAGTTAACCAAGTCTACTATTTGGAAGTGCTGAAAAGGCTGTGTGAATAAGTTAGATGAAAACGACCTGCACTTTTCGCTAACAATTCATGGCTCTTGCGTCATGGCAATGAACTAGCACACACAGCACTGTCTATGAGGGATCTTTTAGCCAGTAAACAAATAACTGTATTGGAACACCATCCCTACTCACCTGATCTGGCCCCCAATGACTTCTTTCTTTACCTGAAGATAAAGCCATATAGAAAGGAAGATGTTTTGATGACATTCAGGACATCATGGTAATACGACGAAAACTCTGATGGCCATTCCAGAAAAAGAGTTCCAAAATTGCTTTGAGTGGTGGACTAGGTGCTGGTGTCACCATAGCTTCTCAAGGGGAGCACTTCGAGGTGACTGTAGTGATATTCAGCAATAAGGTATGTAGCACTTTTTCTAGGATGAGTTCGGGAACTCAATTGTCATACCTCGTATCAGTTACAAACTTTAAGGAATGTCTTTAGACTTTAGTTCCATGACAATTGGGATCATGACTCTCTTGTTCAATTTTGTAGCCAACAATCACAGAAGCTAGTATTAATTAATAAGCAATTTGATGGAAGAAAGGAAAATAAGGAAGGGAGAAAGGGAAGAAGACAAGCGGGAAGGAAGGCAAGCAGGAGGGAAACCACAGATGAAATCAGACTGGAAGATGATTCTCACTAGTAATAACTAATGAACCTGCCTGAGAATGAACTGTGATGGCCATGAAATAAACAGAAGATGTCTGTCTGAGAGATGCTAATGTCTCTAATTTAGAGGTACAGCAAAAATAAAGGTGATCAAGTCATGGCACCCTTCAGAAGGAATACCTTTCACTGCTGCAGCCAGAGGCATTGTCAACAGTAGCTCTGAGAAACTATATGCACTGGAATTTTTTTATTTCTCTTTATTACTTATTTTTAAAATTTTTATTAAATTGAATCAGGGTGACATTGGTTAGTATAATTATATAGGTTTCAAGTGTAAAATTCTGTAATGCATCATCTGTATATCACATTGTGTGTTCACCACCCAGAGTCAGTTCTCCTTCCATCACCATATATTTGATCCCCTTCACCCTCTTCTACCACTGCCCTTCCCCCTTACCCTCTGGTAACCACTGAACTATGATGTTTCTGAGACACTTGGGCTTGCTGGTTGGCCCTGGGACCTTCAGCAAAAGTATGACAGATGGTGCAATGGATTCCTGGCATTCTCCCACCGCAGTTTTGGTCTCTACCTCCTGTACCTTCATCCCGGACCTTTCACTTCTCCTCATTGGAGATACCTAGCAGGCTCTGTCATACCTTGGGGGCAATTCTTAAGCCAAAAGACTCAGTAGTAATATGGTTTCCCAGGTGGGAAATTCATGTTGTAATGTAATCTATCTCATCTTTAACAAATTGTAACCATTGGAAAGCAAAGATCTGGCTCTCTGTGGAAATGCACATATCTTTAAAAATAAAAACAAAATACATAAGTATTCAAGAATTCCATCCCATTTTCCTTCTTTCTTGTCTTACTCTCTATAGTGATTTAAAATCAGATAGGATTAGAAACGGGAGAACTTAATATGAATAATTGAAAATAACTAATTGTTATTATTAGTTGCCTTTTAGAAAGAGAAAATTGGAAATTCAAGAGGTTGAAATTAACAGACCCTTAAGACTCCCATCATGCCTCTAGAAGAGATGGGCACAGGTTGTTTTCTGTGTCTTAATTATTTGTCCTCCACATGTATGCATGGCTACCTCTGCACTTCTTTTGGTTTATTATTAAAATGTGTCCTCTCAATAATGACTTTTCGGACTACTTCATAGAATTGCAACTCCCACCCACTAACATTCTGTATCACTTATTCTTCCATCTCTGCTTAATTTTTCTCCTTAGCACTCATCATACTGTAACATATCATATAGTTTAGTTATTTATTTTGCTTTTTTTTAGTATGTTCACTAGAATACAGTTTATACGAGGGTAGGGATTTGTGTCTTAAAAAAAAATTACCATTAAGGGTGGCTGGGTGGCTCTGTTGGTAAGAGCGTGAGCTCTGAACAACAGGGCTGCCAGTTCGATTCCCACATGGGTCAGTGAGCTGCGCCAGTAAGCTGTTCCCTCAACAACTAAGATTGTGAACAATGGTTTGACCTGGAACTGGGCTTCCGTTAACTGCTGTGAGCGGCCAGCAGTCAGCGTGAGCGTCTGGCAGCCGGCTAGAGCTGCCGTGAGCCATGATGAGCCACCGAGAGAGGCCAGCCGACAGCTGATGCCCGACTGCCTTAGCCGGGTAGAATGCAATGATCATAATACCAACATGGGCCAGTGAGCGGCGTCCTTCACAACTGGGCTGAAGAACGACAGTTCAGAGGTGGGGGGCAGGGGAGGAGGGAAAATTACTATTAAATCCCCAGTACCTAGAATAGCATCTGGCACATAGTAAGTGGTCAAAGAATTTGTTGAATTAATAAAAAAAGGTTCTGAAATATAGACATGGGCTTCTGCTCTTCCGTGAGATTCAAAAATTGTGGCCAAAAATGCTCTTGTCACGAACAACTAGAAAGCCAAGCAAGAATCTTGGACCAGACTCCCTCTTATTCTCAGAAGAAACAATATTATAAAACCAAAATAGAGCAGAGACAATAAGGAAAAAGTAGAAGATAAAATTGAAGAGAACAGAGACAAAGCCAAAATTTGGTTCTTTGAATAAAATTGATAAACTACCACCATTTGGTAGTAGTTATATGAAGTACACATTTGTCAAAACTCATTTCCATATTGTATGTAAATTATACCTTAAGAATCAATTTAAAAATAAAATGTTAAAAAAATTTTTCTTTTGTTTCCCTCTCTTTCCCCTTCCTTTGTCTGCTGACTTTATTCACTAACTTCAAATTATTTTAGAAATTATAGAAATTTTAATTAGTAGCTTTTATGTTAATTATTCATATTATGTTTTCTCAGTATCATTAGGATTTATAATAATTATTTTAGCTCACGGAAACATTTTATAGATGAGGAAATGAGAAGAAACTTGCCTTAAGTCACAGAAACAAATAATGGAGCTAGAATTCAATTATATTAGAATACATCTACTCGAACCTTGCCTGGGCTCAGAGCTTTGTCCCCCATTAGGAAAGATTTGGCAGGAAGGACACATCCCTTGGTAACTTTTAGTAGTCTGTGCCTCCTGTGCCTTTGAAAGATGCTGTTCCTTAGAGCAGGGTGCATGGTGGAGCGCTTGGTAACTGAATGGGAGGTGTCCCTCAGGATGGACTAGGAGGGGGGAGGGCTCTGAGAACAGAATCTGCCTGTTCACTGCCTTGTCTGGCATTAATTGGCCCATGATCTGCTGTGACCCTGGATTAATTGCACTAATGAGCTCACTGAGAAATTGTTCAAGCTCAGGTGGGAAGGGTGGTGTCATCCTCCTCTAGACGCTGGGCACTTGTGAAGTTATATGCCATTCCTATAAATATCTGATGGAGGAAAAAGAAATGTTTGATTCAAGTGCTCTTTCAGGAAATGTTTGAGGTATTAGAACTGGCTTTAGAGAGTTTCTATCACAGGATACTGGGGATATTTCGTTTTTACTCTAGAAAGTTCTGAGAGTAGAAGTAAACTTCCTGCTGTTTTTCTAGACCCTTTTGGAGAGTCTAACTCAGGCTTTCTAGGAAGGGTTGGTTATCCATGGAGTATCTTTACTCCCCATAGATTCTGCAACAGAAAGCTAAGTGGATCTATTTGAAGTACAATTTATATGTTGCCACCATAGTGCACAGGATTCATCTTGAAAGTAAGTCAGAATGGACAGAGTAAAAACTATGAGTTCTCTATTGGATATCCCCTCTTTTTTATAAGAAAAAGGTAAGTCTTCAAACCCACCCAAACTATTTCTTTTCTCTTGCCTCCCATTCAGGACTAGGTTGTAGGGCAGTTGCCATCATTCAGCTCCGTCTCCTGAAGTTCCAGGCATTATTTATTTATATTCTCCACGGTTATGTGAAGATCCTGATGTGTCAGAGTTCCCCAGCTTTCACTGGCCTCTGCCTGATGCAGCACTGTCTCAGGCCTCATTCTCATTGAATCGGGGGGTACATTGAAGGGGGTGGAGACATAGTATAATATAGCTACAGATGTTTTTTTAACTTTATTGGGGGAACTGTGTATTTCCCATGACCCATCAGCTTCAAGTCAAGTGTTGTTCTTCAATCTTAGCTGTGGATGGCACAGGTCAGATCCAACTTTAGTTGCCGTTTTTGAATCTATTTGCGGGGGGAGGGGTGGTGCAGCCCACCATCGCATGGAGAAGTCGCACCGGCAACCTTGTTGTTAAGAGCATGCGCTTTAATCAACTAAGTCATCCAGGCACCCATTGGTAGCTCAGCAGCAGCTCAGCTCAAGTCATTGTTTTCAATCTAGTTGTGGAGGGTGCAGCTCACTAGCTCATGGGGAATCGAACCGGCAACCCTGTTGCTCGAGCTCACACTGAGCCACTTGGCTGTCCCAGCTACAGATTTCTTATTTGCAAAGCTTAGCGTCAGGAAAGAATAGGGATGCATACAGATAATATGTGATCAGTCAGCATTGATACTGGTGATACTATGATTCTATAATACTATGATACTGATTATCCTAATATTAATGATACTAACGTCGCCTGTCTTAGATCTATTGTCACCCCTGCTTACAGCCAGAAAATCACGTCCTCATCCTGGGGTTGGAGTAAGGGGTAATATGAGGAGTGGAGGAGAGAGAAGCTAGACCATCTAGTGAAATCTTAGGGCAAATTCCTCTTTCTCCCTAACATGGTGCTTTGCTCACCTTGCACTGTGGGGTTTTTCCTGTCTCCGTCCTCGATTCTTCTTTGTTTTCTATCTTTTCGCCACAATCACATTTTTTCCCTCTTTGGCTCTGATTGTGTCATCATTTTCTAACCTCTCTGTTCCCTCCTCCTCACTGTTGCAAATATACAATTTAAATGTTGATTTCTTTGTTTGACCCATCCTGAAGCGTGCATCCATAGGATAGTCAGAACATGTACTGATGATGTCAGTGGCTTTCTTCACCTGTTTATGGTTTCTCGGCTTTACACTGAGTCTGGTGCTTTGCGTGACAGTATGGGGCCGAGTGTTAGAGAGAGACGGCCATGGAGTGTGAAGGCTTGAGTTCTGAGCTGATTCCTCACTGACTACACTCTGCTAAATTCTGCCTCCCAGAGCTTAGCCTGAAATTCACAAAATAGGACAGTGTAACTTGCCTATGAGATACTGTAAAATCAAGTGAACAAAAGATACTGAAGCATAAAGAGAGAAGGCTGTAATTAGGGCTCTCATGATTCAATAAACACACACACACACACACACACACTTAACATTGGAAAGCCATTAGCAAGAAAGTTATTTGACTGAAAAACCTAGAAGGCTTTGCTGAGATGATGGCATTTGAACGGCACCCCCTGTACACAGATGGGGATTAGCCACCATCACCTACGGGAAACTCAGAGAATAGAGGGCCTGAGCGTATACATGAGAGAGAGTAGCGTCAGCCTTGGCCGGAGCAGCAGAAGGGGAAGCAGTGGGCAGAAAAGTGGGCAGCAGGATGATGGCACCGAGCCAGAGGCTCTGAAAAACACTGCATTTGAAAACCACAGTAACCATTTGATTATATTTATGATTCATTATACTTTTAAAATGCTCACCTTTTCTTTTCAAGGGGCAGCTAATATAAAAGAGAGAACAGACAGAGTGAGGAGGGAGGGTCTCCCTGACACGGTCCTTTCTCTCTGTTTAGAAACATTGCGCACCCGTGTGAGGATCCACTTAAAGGATTGTAGTATTTGTCTCGATGATGATAGCCTTTCTAACTGGTGTGAGGTGATATCTCATTGGGGTTTTTATTTGCATTTCTCTGATGATTAGTAATGTTGAAAATGTTTTCATATGTCTGTTGGCCATCTGTATGTCCTCTTTGCAGAAATGTCTATTCAATTCCTCTGCCCATTTTTAATTGGATTGTTTTTTTGTTGTTGTTGTGGAGTTGTATAAGTTCCTTATAAATTTGGATATTAGCCCCTTATTGGAGGTGTGGTTTGGAAAAATCTTCTCCCATTCGGTTGGTTGCCTCTTTATTTTATCTATGGTTTTGTTTTTGTTTTTGTTTTTGCTGTGCAGAAGCCTTTTAGTTTGATATAGTCCCATTCATTTATTTTAGTTTTTACTTCTCTTGTCATTGAAGTCAAATTCATAAAATGCTCTTTGAGCCTAAGGTCCATAAGTATAGTACTTATGTCTTCTATGCAGTTTATTGTTTCACGTCTTATGTTTAGGTCTTTGATCCATTTTGAGTTGATTTTGGTACATGGTGAGAGATGGCAGTCTAGTTTCATTCTTTTGCATGTGGCTTTCCAATTCTCCAAGCACCATTTATTGAAGAGGCTGTCTTTTCTCCATTGTATGTTTTTGGCTTCTTTGTCAAAAATTATGTGTCCGTATTTATGTGAGTTTATTTCTGGGTTCTCAATTCTATTCCATCGGTCTGTGTGTCTGTTTTTCTGTCAATACCATACTGTTTTGATTATTGTTGCTCTGCAGTACAAACTGAAGACAGGGAGTGTGATACCTCCAGCATTGTTCTTTTTTCTTAGGATTGCGTTGGCTATTTGGGGTCTTTTGTGGTTTCTTACAAATCTGATGATTTTTTGTTTATTTCTTTAAAAATTGCCATTTAGATTTCAATGGGGATTGCATTAAAAATGTATATTGCTCTGGGTAATATGGCCATTTTAACTATGTTGATTCTTCCAATCCATGCGCACAGAATGTCTTTCCATTTTTTTGTGTCTTCTTCAATTTCTTTTAAAAATGTCTTATACTTTTCAGCATATAGGTCTTTCACTTCCTTGGTTAAGTTTATTCCTAGCTAGTTTATCTTTTTTGTTGCAATTGCAAAAGGAATTGTTGTTTTTATTTCTTATTCTGAGATTTTATTGTTCGTATATTCCCATATGGACTATTGTATGTGGATTTTGTAGCCGGCAACTTTACTGTATTTGTTTATTGTTTCTAATAGCTATTTGGTGGAGTCATTAGGGTTTTCTATATATAGCATCATGTCATCTGTAAAAAGTGACTAACTTCTTCATTCCCTATTTGGATGCCTTTTACTCCTTTCTCTTGCCTGATTGCTCTGGCTAGGACTTCCAATACTATGTTGAAAAGCAGAGATGATGGTGACAGCCCTGTTGTATCCCTGAACACAGAGCGAAGGGCTTCAGTTTTTCACCGTCAATTATATTAGCTGAGGGTTTGTCATATATGGTCTTTATTATGTTAAGGTATTTTCCTTCTATACTGACTTAATATTAAGTGTGTTAATCATAAATGGATGATTAACTGGATTGTCAAATGCTTTTTCTGCATCTATGGATATAGTCATATGATTTTTGTCCTTTATATTGTTTATGTGGTGTATCACAGTGATCGATTTGCATATGCTGAACTATTCTTGTGCCCCTGGGATGAACCCCACTTGGTTGTGACGTATAATCTTTTTAATGCA